TACCGGCCCTGGAGTGAGTGGGGGGGAAGGGACCCGGCCTCCAGTTGCCGGCCCAGGAGTCGGTGGGGGGGAGGGGAGCGGGCGACCGGAGGCTTCTGCCTCCTGGAGCATGGAGAGGGTGGGGTTTGCAGAGAGGTGGGACCTCAGACAGGTAGAATGTCATAGACTACACCCTCCAAACCAGCCATTTTGTCCTGGGTAACAGTTGCTGCCAATTTCCAGGTGAGGGCTACAGATTACTCACAATTACAACTGCTCTTCAGGTAGCAGAGATCAGTTCCTCTGGAGAAAACAGTGGACTCTGTCATTATACCCTGCTGAGGTCACCACAGCAAATTGACACTGTTTGCCCAAAGCCAGAGCACTGCCCCAGAGCCTCTTTCTAGATCTCGTTGTATTGCTTTCACAACGGGCTTTACTGCTACTAATCAATATAACTGAAGATGACAGGCAGATAAAAGGTAGGTTGCTGAATGGCTGAGGAGAGAATGAGGTGGGGAAAGGGGAGAGGATATGGGCATTGCCCGGAGGAGGGAAAGGTGAAATAACATGGGGAGAGGGATACAGAGGAAAGTGAGGTGCCCTCCAAAACCCTTGAGGATTCCCTACCATGCAAGTGGGCCTGGCCCAGTGGCTGGCACCACACAACTGGGTCACAGTTTTCCTATGTAGAGGGTGCAGGGTGGGGGAGAGAAGACAGACAGGGAAATACAGGTGGGTTGGCTGTTGGATAGGAAGGAGATAAGGTTGCCAACTCCAGGTCAGGAAATTCCTAGAACACAAAAGGAGCCTGGGGAGGGTGGGGATTGAGGAGGGACGGGACATCAGAGGGGTGTAATACCATACAGTCCACCCTCCAAAGCAGCCATTTCCTTCAGAGGAACTAGATTTGCCAACCTCCAGGGGGGACTGGAGATCACCCAGAATTACAACAGCTCTCCAGATGACAAAGATAAGTTCCCCTGGAGAAAATGGCTGCTTGAAAGAATGAACTGTATGGCATTATTCCCTGCTGAGGTCGCTTCCCTCCCCAAACCTTGCCCTCCCAAGTCTTCACCCCCAAATCTCCAGGAATTTCCCAACTTGGAACTGGCAACCATAAGAGGGAACTGATCTCTATAGTTGTGATTCCTGGAGATCTCCAGGCCCCACCTGGAGGCTGGCAACCCTAGAAGGAGAAAAGGAAGCAGGCAAAGGGGAGAGATGTTGGGGGCTTTCAGAAAAGGGAAA